GCGACTTGTTAGCAGCTCTCAGTAGCAAACCGAAGAATATCACGTCCTCCCAGAACCCTCTTAAAATCAGAGATGAGATCAGACACTATGCTACTGAACAGAGACTACTATCTCGTCAAGAGGTTCGATTTCACAAACAATTTTGTTATCGAAATAACAATTTTATTATATAAAAAAAACTTTCTGTTTTATTACTTTGTTTTATACATAATAATAAAACAAAATTTATGGTATGATACATACTTTTGTACGATTTCAGATGCACGATACCGCTGTGCTTCTAAGTCGTCACTTCATGAAAGAGAGATTACAATATGGATTATACGGGCTTTATCCGAAGTATAGAAGCTACAACGAGCCATTGACTATTTTTTTGGGTATGGTTGGCCACGCTCTAGTCGTATTGACACTGCAAGCTGATCGAGGATCGCTTGCCGATCAATGTAAGCCAATTGAAATATCTTAAATAGTCACATAGTTATTTGAATCTAAAATATATAAATCGCCTACATCTAAAAAAATTTCATTGCATATTTTTTCAGTGTGTGATAAGATTTGGCCGGTGCTGAGCGAGATGTTTGCGCCATGGATTACTCCGTATTGGACGAGAAACCTGCGAGAGCCGACGGCCGCGTGGATTCAGCAATTGACGGACGATAGGTCGGTGTTGTTACCATGGATTATTACCGACGGTCCTTATGCGAACCGTACGATGGCGATGTTTACCGAGTGTATTCGTTTCATCATCGATACCATGCCGGCATCCAGCAAAATTCTCAGTTTTGTATGGCAATTCTACGTGGTCAACTATGCCCACTCATCCGTCAAGGACCATGTATTGAATGTTGTGCATGGTAACTTGTTGTCTCTTCCTTGGGATCGCTTCTATCCCGCCATCAATGACATCGAGTTAATGATCAAGGTCATTGATCAGTATCTACCGGACTGTCACTTGTTCCTCGGAAGCATCTTCACTTGGGTTAACTGGTCTGTTTGGGTCAATGAGTTGATGACCACACAATCATTGCCGGTCGCTGCCAGGATGCATGTTTGTCTGCTGAATTTGTTGGTGAAGCTCTCTAATGAACCAAACGTCAGACAGGTAAGAAAGAAGTAGGAGAACTTAGGACAGACGTACGTCGATGTACAAAACTGAAGTACATTAAAACAATTAATTACTGTGCTAGTTTTGGCCTTAAAATGTTTCTAAAATTATTTGCTTTTAAAATATCTCGATCCAGAATTTATTGTGTTTATTGTTTAAGTTAAAAAAACTTCACCAGAATTAGCCTGATAATCGATAATGATATACCTATAATTATTCTTTTTTTATGTATTTTTGCGATAATGTATCGTAGCAATTTTGGTATAAATATATTTCTTTGTTTACAGTACTCTATGTATGTTTCGGTAGTAGGAATGCTAGCATAACATGATGTCAGCACCCCCACTTTTAACATTAATTCCTTGCGAATAGGAAAGATTCGGAACTATAGATCAATGAATGAACAATAAATGAGCATTTAATTATGATATATGTGCAAACTTTTTTTTAATGATGCTAGTTTTATAAAGATCTATCCGATGTTATGAAAAATTTCAGCAGATTACACTTTCTGACAGAAATAAAGATGCTTCACGTTTCCCTAACGCTAGAACTCGAGAAATTAAGTAAAATTTGAAAAATTAGATTCTAATTTGTAAAAAATTAGAAAAAATAAAGATAAGAAATATGCAGAGTAAGGCATCTAAGACAGGTTACCTAAATAACTTGCTTGTTTTTAACGATAGAATTATTGAGGTGACCTGTTTTAGATGCCTCACCCTGTATAAACTACGTAAAACGTATACTAAAAGAAAATTAGAACTTCAGCTAATCTAATTAATGTTCCAGAACGAGAAAGCAGTGCAATTAGTCACAGAAGCCGAGACCTTTTCTTGGCATTTAATTGATGCCACAGCGTATGATCAAGTAATTAATTGGCATGTGATGAGTTGCGATCCCAAAGTGATCTTATGCTTGAGTAAAGATCAAACTCATGCTATTGATATAGCTGTCAACAAGTGAGTCCTCATAATGTATTTGCAGCATAAGAACTAATACCAATACTAAATATAAAAATAATTTGATATACAGCTTGCTGAAAATAGCAGCAGCTTATGATTCTACGGTGAAACATTTTCATCCTACTACTCTGAAAAAGAGACAAATGTATGTGCGTTCCTCAGTGAAGTTACTAATCAACTGTACTACGAGACACAAATCTCTCCTCTCGACTAATAACAAAGCGTTCACCAACACGTTGTCGCAAATGCTCGACGAGATGGAAACTGTTATAACTAGCAGTGAGTATTAATATTTTAAAAACCAATCTGAGAATTTAAGATCCTATGATACATCTAGCTTATTTAGATCAAAATATTGAAGAGATCAGAAATATAAAAACCTTTCTCCTTAAAATATTGCCATGTTAATTTTTTTGCGTAGCTGTCTCTGAATCACAACAGGTTGCCGAAGCCGGATTGCTGATCACTGAGCTTCTGCATTCAATCAACCAAAGCGGAATACTGGTCGATCATCTTCGCAGCAGTTGGACGGCATGGTTGCTAGAGCGGACTGCTGGTAGTCCAGTGTTGATGGGGATATTAAGGGTAATCGGAATGGCAGTTACTTCTTCGTCCACTCTAGGTCATCTCATGGAGGCTGCCTTAGAAGCTTACTTCAAATACAATAGTAATCGGATCAACTTTTCATTTAACAGTTCTATTTTTGTGTGTATCAGATTTAATTTATTTATAATTGATCATGTATACATTTTTAGTAACGGAAGATGTTCGACCGACGTGGGCGTCAGTGTTGACGATCTTACAGTCTGTAGTACCGCGTCAGCCGCCATTAGAGTCCGTACTGGTGTCAGAAGGAAGATTGCTAGCCCTTTACTCCGTATTGCTGAAAAGACTTCCGTCCTGCAGAGATATCCGGGAAGAGGGCATGCTTCTGATTAACCTGGTGGACTGGATTAGTGCTATTAAAACTACGTAAGTATTTCCAAAAGTTAAACAGAACGAAATCTTGAGAAAGTTAATTTCGTTTATCTAGAGATATCGTAGAAGACAAACTGCCTTTGCTGTGGGCAAAAGCATGCGAGCTGGCCTATAGGCAATGTCAGTACAGTGAGAACACAGTGATCGCTGCCAGAGCCTTAAAGGGATTAGCACGAGCATTATTAACAGTAGCGGACGATGCAGGGCAAGGATGGGGTATTCTTGGAGCTATTGGATTAAGAAAAGGTTCTCAGCTCACCATACGGTAAGCTACGACGGTATAACAATCACAAAATAGATTTGTATTCTCTTCATACATTTATCGGCCTTGATTGTCCATTCAATTTTCAGGTGCAAGTTCCTAAGCCGCGCTATAGCCGTCTATTGCTTGGCACAATTACCAGAATCTAAATCCGATCAGCAAATTGTGAGGTATACTTCACACTCGCTCGGTGTAGCACCTTCAAGGTTGACCGATCCAGATATGATGGAGATTCGTCCTAGCACAGAGGCTGTAAAAGCAATGCAGAATCTGGAGGGGCTCCTGGTAAATAAGCAGTATGCGGAACTACGGGGAAATGTGGAAAGAGCCATTAGACTCATTAAGGATTCTGCTAACTCCCTTCACAATGTCGTTCAAATTATTGGCATACTCACCATGGAGCTCTACAATCAAAGATACCTACATGTGTTGACAGAGTGATACTAGTTTATACACAGATTTAGCGATAGGCTGATAAACGCCTTGAATCGTTTCAAAGCGTGATACATGGACCTTATGAGATTTTTTTATCGAAAGCTGAATCTTTAGTCGCTCTATAACGTCATTTAAAGCATTTCTAGTTCACGATTGGCTTTAATGCTTCAACATTTTCTGCAAATTTTCAATAATTAAATAATTACATATTTTAACGAAATTCTATAAAGCCTTTAAGAAAATTTCACGCTTGAATTGCTTAAAAGCTTGTGGAATTGAATGCCTATCATTACGTAAATTTTACCAATGACACGTTTAAATTGAATGCTATAATAATTCATATGAATCTTGGAGATTGAGACTAGATTACGATTATTCGCTTATATTAATATCGAATTGAACCTTGATCTCTGAAGAAGTACAATTGTGATATAGTTCCAATTTTAAATTTGATGCGTAATATAGACTTAAGTCAAGCGCATCTGTTTTGTTTTATTTAAACTTTTTAGGTCTGTACTGATCTAGTCACGAAGTTGTTTAATTTAAGACATTGTAAACTTTAAAGCTGTGTTCCACTTAATGCTTACGAGCTCGATTTTCCTTATTTGATATTGATAAATAACAAGAATAAAATGATTTTGCGAGTATTGTGGGTGTTAAGTGGAACGCATCCTAGAATACATTCAATTTAAACGATCACAGTCAAATAGCTGTATCGACAGTATATAATTAAAATATTTAAGGATACAATGGTTTACACTTAACATAAAATTTATGCATTCGACTTGCGTCATCAATACTTCGGTACCTGCCTATATATATAAATTCTATGTTAATATTTGATTTATATTTACATATTAAATTAAAATTCTGATAACACAATTATTATAATTTCGTTGTTTATGTCACACAGAGTTGTTCAAGAACAGTGGTTGTCATAAAAAAAATCGTTGAATAAAAAGCCGATTATTAAATGATTTTAAATTAAATCGCATATGAAACTACTGTACAATTTAACATACACAAGACTATTATTTTTATGTAAGATGCTTTTAAATTGATATAAATAATTTTTGTGGTAATATTTTATGGACTATATTTATATTTTGTTAAAATTTCAAAAATGATATATTTTGAATTCCAAAGTTCTGTAATACCAGAATTTTCATTAGACTATTCTGATCGAGTCAAGAACGATTTACGCATGAAAACTTTATTCAAATACATAAGTTACTTTGTTTTTTAAAATTCAAAACTATCAAACTTTTAAAACGCTACGACGTGCATCTCGTAGTAGCTGCGAAGCTTCGCCGAGCGGATACTCTATCAGCTCACACTCGAACTGATCACTGAAAGCGTTTCTAAAAATCGGTAGTACATCAGCGACCGTAACATTCATGTCCAGCTCCTTAGAGACGCTAGTCACACTTTTGCTTTCGATGCCACAGGGAACAATGTGATCGAACCACTTAAGATTAGTATTGCAGTTGAGCGCGAGACCATGAGTGGTAATATAACGGCTGCCGTGAATACCTATAGCGCAAATCTTGCGATCACCGACCCAGACTCCTGTGTCCGGCGAGGTCTCAGCTTTGATACCAAGCTCTGCGCACACGCGGATCACCGTACGTTCGACTTCATGCACGTACCACTTGATACTGGTGTGAAATTGCTTGAGGTTGAGCACTGGATAAGCCACCAGCTGACCAGGTCCATGGAAGGTGATTAGCCCGCCGCGGTTTGTCCTCCAGAATTCTGCACCGAGGCTCCTCAACTTCTTCTCGTCTTCCACTGTATATCCTTTACTCCGTATTCCTACGGTATACACTGGCTCATGCTCCAAAAGCAATAGCGTATTTGCTATTGCATTCAAATGTTTGTGATGATGATCTGATAAAATCTTTTGTAATTGTAAACCGATTCCGTACGATAAACGACCGGCTGGTAAGACTTTTACTACTCGTGAATGCATTCTGATGCTCAATATAACATGAAATTGACTGTATTTAAGACCAAAAAGCAAGAATTTTGTTAAATTGAAAAATTTACCGAATTCTCATCGTTTTGGTTTTCCTTTTCTATAGTAATGGCCTTTGCATCAAGTGTTGTGTAAAGCAGAAGGGATACCTGCAATGTGTGAAAGTTTATTATTTTAAACGATGAAAATATTACCAGTCTTTTATAATTATTATATTTATTTAGTATCCTTTCATCATTTTAAAATTATAAATTATGACCTTGACATTTTTTCATTTTATAGTGATTATAATTAGCTTTCTCTACTTGAATATTTAACAATTTTAAATTAATGTTATTTTTTATTTAATGTTATGCTTCATACAATATAATTGCACCTACATAAGCATCTGTGGCTGCGTAACTTTTCTGAGCGTCGGTGAGGGGTTGTATATGCCATTTGCTCATTCGCACCTCGGAAAGTTTGCTGATTTTCTTCTTCAACTAAACGCATAAAGATGTTGTTTCAATTTTAATATTATTGTCAACCGTAAGAATTAGAGAACCTCTAGTAGAGTAAGAATAACATAAAGAAAGATGTAATACCAAATAAGCAGTCAATTTTTCCAAACTCCAACGGCAAGAGCGCTTCAAGACACGATTAGCGTAAGTCCCGCAGTCCAGACAATTATTCTCTACCACTTTTTGAGCAGGAAACTCTTTGAAATCCCTCCCTAACTTCCACACGTCGCTACAAAATATTAAACATGCGATTATTGATATTTTTACAGGAGAAGCGAAAGGATAACGCCAAATGAATATTCATAGTACATGTATTTTTCATCTATAAATAAATTATTTTAACTCTTAATATGTTGAAAAAATAATAAATAGGATGTCTCTGAAAATTTTTCTTTTAATTTATCTCTTAAACAATACTATTCTCTAAAAAAAATTATTAGAAATTAGATTATTTAGTAATTACTGACTTTTTAATATTGACACCAACGAGTCTGACTTTCGAGTGACACAGGAGTTGAACGAATGCTGCTGGGAGTTTCTTCAACGAATACACATGCAAGAGATAACACACACTGTCCTCCAAGCAAATCTGCACCAGTGCCGTTTTTCCACTGCCAGTTTGAAAGTTGAATGGCCACTCCAGATCAAAACCTATCGGCACAATCTCCTTCTCACTGAGCTTTACTTCTTGTCTAGAAGAAAAATAAGAAATATATAATTAAAAAAATTATCTCAAATTTCTTTTATTTCTATTCTCAGGCTTTAGGATTATTTCTATTTATACGTTTTTGTTGTAAAAAAAAAACGTGACAAATGTGATTCCTCAGATCTCTCTAGCCTATAGCCAATCAACAGACTTGAATTTGTATGACAAAAATGTACAAATGAAATAATGGTCTATCTCTTCTTTATAGATTCTTTTTCTATTTCTTTGAATTTTGAGAAATATTCTATGTCTTCTACACTCACATAAGATTGTCACAGATCTGAGCACAGTTAAAGAAGTCATTAGTGTATTGAATACACCCCTTGAAGACAATTGAAGGCAAAGTTTTTATGTCGGGCTCTCTTTCAGGTTCTGGTTGTTCCAACTTTTCCTGTACAGAATTAATAAATCAATAATTATTTATATTTTTTAGAGAAATTTTTATCTTTTAGAGAAAAATGGAATATTATATATTAGATGAATATCAATATTAAATAGTTTTTAGAATTAAAAATATATATAACTGGAACTATCTCAAATAAAACAAAATGGCCTGGGCACATTATTATTATTATATTTTAAATTTTTTAATTAAGAAGTTTGGAAATGCAAAACTTTTTCTCGTTATTTAAAAATTTATAATTATCTAGCATAGTCTAAAATATAAAATTTTGCCCTTTAAATAAAATTTGTAAACTCCTCTATTCAAAACAGAAATCTCTGGAGCACAGACCAGACTATTTCCAGTTAATGTATTTGATTCAAGTTCAAGTTTGAAAATAAAAAAATGCTTCATCATTTGGTGTGAGACTGTGTACCCTGTTACCAATAGCCTATCACCAACTATTCAATTGTCGTACACACTTTTATATGCTGCGGCAAATTCCTGGGTGAGCGACGCAATCCAACAGATTCTGCGGATACCTACAATCAGAGACCGTGATCAGGATTACGAAACACGAAGAAGCAAGAAAGTGAATCTGACCATGTTCGCGTAACTAACCTCTTTCTTGACAGAACTGGCGATATGTGTCATCATTGCGATGGTGGAGAAGGTGGGTAGTGGTCGACACTGCGCCCGCTGTAATTCGAGATCCGAAGAATCAGCCTTGATGATCAAAATTCGTCGTAAACGCACGTAAACGCGAGCTTCGTCTTGCCGCCAGGCATCAATGATGCCATAATGCTGTTCCGACCATTGAATTCTACTTGCCGGTTTCCCGCCAATTTTCACCTGATGAACAGCTGGTACTCCCAACAGGTTGTCAAGCGAATAGAACGAAAGAGAAGAAGAGATGGTGGAATAAGAGAAAAAGATAGAGATATACTTTAGCACCCGAGACAAAGAGAAAAAAAATCACTATTTAGTAACAATATTTCATTAAAAATCTTATATCGGAAGAAAAACATTTCAACAATTTTGTCTATGAAAATATTTTTTATTATTAAAAAAATATGAGAAAAAATAATATTAATTAATGTTACGCCCGATTACCAAAGTGAGAACACAGTTTACCTCGGAAGAGGAAGAGAGAGGAGGCGTTTTGATATATCAAACTGTTATTGGCACTTCTGCGAGTTAACCGTCGATTAATTTAATCGCCTTTTTTAAAAGTGAAATTTCATCTTCTCTGGAGTGAAATTTTATTCTAAAAGTGTGAAAATCTACCATTATTATTCAAGAACCAAAAATTTTTACTCAACATGTACATATCGTGTTTTCATGATTTAGATAATTTTTCAAATTTTGATATTTTTTGATCAAACTTATACTGATGAGGACCTAGGTCGAAACGTTTATTATTGTATGATTTTTAATAAAGTTACTTATAATTTACACGAACTAGTGTTGATTCACATTGGCATTAAATTTAAATACTTATATTGAAGATTAAAATCAACCACAATTAAAATGAAATGGATTAAAATTAATATTATCTTACTGATTGAATTCGTAATTTTCAATCTTTTTTCTGCAGTATATAAGCTTGATATAATTTGATTGTTCCTGCTTATTTTATTTTAAATAGTAATATAAAGCAACTATATATATAAACAAATATAGAAAGGGAATAGAAAAGAAAGGGAAAGAGAAGAAGGTGAAAAATATTTGCGTAGAATATATAAGTCGTTCATTTTTGCATCGAATTTATTTAAATAAGATCTCGAACCACGTCAGAGAATCACATAAAATTACTTTATACGTATACATACATGTATATTGATATATGTATATACATATATGTATATGTATGTGTGTATATATATTTATACTTAAGCGTTATATTATTTTGCTCTGACACACAAATATACATGTGTAAAGATTCTAATGTTGATGATAACGTTTTTCCAAGTGTCTTAGAGATCTCTTACGCATTGACAATGGCATTTTTCTTTCTCTCTTTCTTTCTTAACCTTTATTGTATATTTAAATAAAATAATTTAATAAAAACTAAATTAATTAGCAGCCAACGAAACTATAGTGGTATCTGATATTTTCTTGATTAATTGTCAGATCTTCAAATCAGACTTCCTCTTCAGTATTGAATGTATACTTAGTGATTTCTTTTTTCTTCAAAGCAGTATTAATTCATTAAATTTTAATGTAGCCCAACATTTTTCTGTTTTAAAATCTTGTAACTCAAGTCCTAATCTAAATTTTGAAATAGCAAATGGTATTTAGGAGTCAAAAAAGAATTGTTCTTTCCGAAAGTCTAATTTACAATGAACTGTGGGAAGTCTAGACAAAAGATACAAAGATTAAAAGATAAGGTAAAAGAAGTAATCCCTTTTTTATGGATAAATATTTAATAAATGATCTATTTATCTTTTTAATGAAATAAATCGATATAATTATTAGGGATTCTTCGAATATCCGGTATTATCTGGTACATTTTTTACTATTGGGACTGATAGCTGGATATCATTAGTATCTGATAATATATCCGACTAAAATTTTATATTGGAAATTTGCGTCATTAATTGCAGCATTTTATTCATTAATGCAGCATTCTTTTCAGCTCAACTCCTTGCACAGTTCATCTTTTCTCTTTTTCATGTTGAAAAAATAAAGAAAATTATTATATATCGCTCTTTTGTTTTCCTTTTTTTGGAAACCTTGTTTCAGATATCCAACCGGAAAGATATCCGATATCCGATCAAATAATTATCCTACTAAATACCCCATCGGATATCGAACATCCGAAAGAATGTGATACACCATCACTGATAAATTGTGCAAAGAGCAACTCTTTTCATCTCCAAATGCTAATTGCTGTCTAAACATTTAAATTAGAGCTCATAAGGATTTAAAATAGAAGTCATCTGGGTTTAATGAATTAAAAGCGCGTGAAATAATAAATTCTGTAAAAATTATCGCACCAAAATCCTAAATTTTATGAACGACTTTTGATTGAATGAAGATACATGTTGCCTATTCCTAATCTTCCTCATCATTTTTCATAATATATATATATATACTCCAGTTATATTACATAAACGCAAGTATACGTGCGATGTTAAATCGTTCATATACGATCCAACGATTTTTGCGACAACCGTTTTGTGAAGGCGTGTATAACGATGTGCATTCTCATTGCATATTTATCGCTAAATGTGGGATGTGAGAATATAAACATTACTTACTAATGATTTATTAATATAAATAAAATATATAATGAACAAAACATTCAATTATATTACAAATTTATATTGATTAATAACGCCATAATCATTATGTGCTCAATTTGATGCAATTAATATATTACGAATATATACATTAGATAGACATGATTAAATCCGAGTCACATTTAGCGTTATGTGCAATGCTATATAAAAGAGACATGCTAAGAAAGTTCAATGCGGTATATAAATTTATGTGGAAGTCGTTGAATCGTACATAAATAATTCAACACGAGTTAAAGTATCTAACCGCGCTTTACATTTAATTACAATCCTGTTGCTGTAGAGATGGGTATGCAATATCGTCTCTTTTGCGAGTAATGTTGCGGCCAATCAGTCGATCCTGTTCGAGACGATCCTGAATACCTGTCCGGTAATCCATCATTACTGCTGTGTAATTCTGAAAACTGGCCCGATCCTGAGGAAGAATCTGCGCAGTATCGATCTGAGCTCAGGTTTGAGATCAAAACACATGACCTCGCAGAGGCAGGGATAACAGGTGGAGGCGTGAATTGCGAAGCGATGATCGCTCATCTTGATGATTCGAGTGAGCAGCAACAGTAAAATCGGAGTCCAGGCATCGCGATGAGCCTCGTTGGCAAGCGCTAGAAAATATTCGAGGGCCTCACACGCCACTTCAACCAGTCGCGCCTCGATCTTGGACCAATCCGTGCGATGTGCCTCATCGCTATACATCTTAAAGAGAATACGCAATGCGCAAGCAAGCGATTGCGTCTCTTGCTTCAGCAGATTTGGTTTCATGTTGCCACGAAAACTGGCCTTCCACAACACGTTGCGCTGCTCATGATCCGAATTGAAACTCTTGGCGAAGCGATGCGACCGTAGAAGGCATTCTACTAACTGAAGGAGGTGATTGGTTGTCAGAGCACAGTACATGCCTTGCTCCTCCTTCTGTTGATCAGCGCTGGCCCTAAAAGCAATTTTCATTGAGTATAAATTGTATATTTGTACAATTTTAAAAAGTGAACGCACACAGTGATAGGACACTCACTTTACAAGCTCTGACGATTTGCCGTTCAGCATGTCGGCTTGCGCGAGCGCTAGATTCTCCTGATCCTCCTTGCGCGATGTCGCCGGATAAAAAACAATGTTGTCGATAGTTTGTATTAACTCAAGCTGGACCACACACTTAATTTGCAACGCAGAGAAAAGCTTTGCCTTCGGTAAGACCTCAATGTTCAAGCTTTGTGCACTGTTGCTCCTTTTCAAGATACCAACATGAAAACCATCGGATTCGCCAGTAATCACATCGAGGTCCGACTCCTTGTTTGGTGGATGTGGTTTCCATGTGAGTAACGCCGATGGTAGAGTGCTTTCGAAAATGTCTAGGACACATTGACAAGTTTTCTGCCAAGTCTGCTCGTCAAATTTGATGCCGTTACTAATAACCAGATTCTCCAAACAGTTGGTGCCTGATCGTGCCAACTGTTCGTTATCTTGCTGAACGCACCAGAGAAGCTGGAAATAAAGTTGTTCTAGCAACAAAGGGCCCAAGATATCGTAAAACTGTGAGAACACATCCACAATGGCATACAGTGCGTGATTGCACGTTGTTGTCATCCACTCAGCTTTCTGCAACATTTAATAGATTATTTAAATATTTAGATGTTCAAATAATCTCTCGCAGAAAAAATGCATTTATTTTCCCCTTTTTTAATTTAGAAATTATACAAACTTCGGTATGCTGCTCGGGTAGCTTCATATTATCAAAAATCCTAAAAAGAACCTGGAACAGGTCCTTCCACCAATGAGGCTTGAAGGATGATCCGTGAGTTTTGACGACATCAAACAGTACTGTCAGCGCGCGTGTCCTGACATCCAACTTACATCTACTCACAACGCAGGATAATTCAAATAGCAGTGGAAACCACCCTCTCACCTAAAAGAAAAAAAAAGTAAGAAAATGACAATACGTCAAACAATTCAAATGCTAATAAATGAACTAACTAAGATGACAATACCCAAGCTCGATCTTCCTCGGAGACCATTCCGCTGTCATCCATCATACCCTCGGCAAACAAATTGGGATTCGCATCAATATAAGAAGCACAGGAACGTATTAGCCGAATTGCCTCCATGCTAGTATCCGGAAAAAAAGCGTTGCATGCAAATTCGCTCAAACATTTGACGGCGTCTTGGAAAGAGTCCACCATGATACTGAAGTCCTCTGCATATAACTCGTCTGAGAAAACATTCAAATTATGCAGAGTAAATAAAAAGTCGGTGAAGAATCTCGAAAAACATTTTTGGGTAAAGTGTTTCAGACAAAAGTTATAGGGTTTAAAAAGATCTATTGTAGTGTTTCGAAAAGACTCTTGACACTAGTTATTAGATTCTGGAATTAAAAATAGGGTATCCTATTTAGAAACATTGATATGATTCAATTTTGACGACACTAGCCGTCAGATCAAACAAATGTGATCAGTAAATAGATATATTTAAACCCTACAACTTTTGTCTGAATCATTTTTCCCAAAAAACGCTTTGTTTTCGAAATATTTCACCGGTCCGGGAGTTTTTACTCAACCTGTAAAATGATTATAGAATTAACACACACACATACACACATTATCTGTTTAAAATATATCAATTTATTATAAATTATGACTATAGAGAAAAATGATACCAAAATACAGTGACTATCTCTTAAAGTAAACACAAAAATGTAACTCACTAATAATCTTGCCAGTCATGGAAAAGGCTAACTCAACCACAGATTCATCACGATCGCTAGCCGCATGGTGAAAAACGCTAAAAATATTCTTCCAACCAGACCTGATATTTGGTGCTTGCGAGTGAACAATCTGCGCTACGCATCTCACAACCATATCTCTAATCACAGGTGACCTGAATCACATTAAATTACACCATAACTGTGAAATATATTAAAATTTTGAATGTATTGTAAAACTTTTATAAACGTTTAATATTCCAATAAATTGATCATATGTTATAAAAAATGTTTTACATATATTATAAATGTCGGATTATATTCATTAATACAATTGTTATTAAATTAAATTAATCAAAAGTAAATAATTAAAAGAATCGAATTACCTGTTCTTTTTCATGATGTGCTCAAATGGTCTAAGAAAGTCTTTTTGAAATCTGAAATTGGCAAATTCGCCCTTTTCGATAAACTTGGTAGCTAGCTGTCTCAGAGAATCCACTGCGAAAAACGCGATATCCTGTCGAGGACTGCATCCTACCCTGTCAAAATGATCACCGAGGACTTGCCAAATTCTAGACCACTGTAATCTAATACGACCCATATTATAGTACGAGATCTCAACGATCTTCGTAAGAGAGAACATGCGCGGTTGCGTGGGGTGTGCTAATTCCTCAAGGGATACCTGAAAATTATATATTATTATACATTTATTACAGTTTAATATTCATGTAAAAATCATTAATTGAATTTAGAAGAGAAAGACCTGACAGAGAGCCTTGACGAATTCGACAATAGCGTCACCATCGAGTCTCGTCGAGCCAGTGAAGATACGATCAACGGCTACGACGACACTTTGCGAACTAGTTTCGCCAATGGACTCCTTCACGCTAGGATCCAATGAGCTCAGATTGAGATTGTTGCTCTGGTGCGAGTTGGCAGAGTGCGCGAGACTGCCAAAATTCACCAATGGCGAGGGAAAGTGCGGTTTTGACGGTGGGCCCAACAATTGTGGCCGTACTCCAGTGCCTATCAGCTGTGCCAATTCCAGCTGGGAGATGCATTTGACGACATCAAGCCATGAACTACCCAGGTAGTTGCCATCGGTGTGAGCTACTGTGATAAGAGTCTTGATAGTATCAATGTTCTTCGCCTTCATTTCGGTAATAGGGGAGTTGGCCGTCAACAGAGTAAATCTCGCTAAAGCTTGTACATAGGCATCACGTTCAAGGCTCATGTGAAAGATACAGGCGATGCGAATGGCACATCTAAAATAACATATAGTAGGTAATACAAAGGTAATATACTATATAAAGCATAGGTATAAATCTGTTTTTTTTTTCATTCTATGATTTCTTCTTACCTGATACCGTCTAAACAGAGCGACGCAATCTCTGGATCGTCGCAGTCTTGAAGTCCAACACTGAAGGCCGCGAGGAATGGCGTCCAAGCCATTTTGAACATCGGCCGCACGTGTTCCAAATGTTTCGCTGTAGTAAATGGTGCCTGAACATGACTGACGGATTCCATCAGATTCTTCGCCGCTGTAGAAATCACTTCCATTTCCATGTTCCATAACAACCGTCGCTTCTTTTCACTAGAAATCAGCTGTTTTCCGGCAAGCCGGCTATTATTAGGATTCGACTTCATCTTAATCTCATTGCCAGCAATTTCGTCGTAGATTCTAGACAAATATTCCTCAGGAAGGTCCTCATTGTCACTGTTGCGCCGATTAAGCCTGATGAAAGAAAAAATAAGAAAAGACTCTTCAAGTTTATTTTAAAAAGATATAGGTGTATGAAAAAAATACATAAAGAGCACAATCACTATACATTTTTTTATAATATCATAAAACATAAATTATTATATAATAATAATAATAAAACATAATAACAAAATTAATAAAAATCTATTTAAAAATAAATGATGTAATTTTATAGCGACCTAATTATAAATTTTTATTATTTCTTACGTTTGTTTATTAACTGCATCAACTAATTCACAACATATATATATATAAAGAATAAAATCTTGAATTTTCAAGTTTACTGTTGACAATTGAAATTGTAAAGTACAATATAATCAACATAAAAAATTGCTGAACGTACCTAATGTATTGTTCTTTGGTCATTTTATTCTTAACCTGTGGCGAGTGCAAATCGGTGGTCAGCATTATGATTGAGAAGCCAAGAATATAGGCTGTATCCGCGCTCGTAAAAAGGCCGTTATTAGGATTACACTCGCAATAGCGACTAGCAAACTTTTCCATCAGTCGGTCGATCTTCTGTGCCTCGCCAGGCAGCCGGAAGCCCTCTAGGAAATATCTGAGTGCAGTTACTAGATCGCGTTCGGCAAAATTCATTTGGTCTATATAATGGTACATTACCTGCAATATATGGTACACGAAATTAGTCACTGTATAAATTAATTACCAATATAATTATCACGCAATCATAATATGATCTGAACTGACAAATCATGGCCTACCCATATAGAAAAAAAAAACAAGTTTTTTCCAATAATCTTATCATAAATCATTAATCTTAAATTCATTAATCTTACGCCTTCAGTACAATCAGGATATTCTCAAGTTCTCAAGAGCTAAAGTAGACGTTGAAAATGAACAATGAATGCAAAAAGAGCACAAGGGCAAGACTTGCAAGATTTAAAAAATTGTATAATTTAAAATTTTGAAAATCAGATAGCTACATCCCATTAGAATATAGTTTTTTATAAGGTTTTTGAATTAATTACTAAATTTGAAAAACAACCAGAAAAGATTTTTTTAAATAGTCAATGCTTTCATTCTAATGTTTTTAAAAATTGTTTAGTGTAGATAATGTTATATTTTTTTAACATAAAAAGAGGCATTATTTGAGATAAATAAAGTATGTTAATAGCGTACTATAAATGTTTTTTAACGCAGAAGAAATATTATGAGTTCAACATTGAGTGCAAAAAGGATACGAGTCAAAATTTAAACTTTCTCATTGACAAATATTTTAGAAATTCGTAACATTTCAAAAATACATATTATTAAATGTCATATCTAAATTAATTGTTCTAAAAATAATTTTGTTAGTTTTCCACTAATTAAAATCAAACAGTTTGTCAATACTAAAAAATTTGATTAATGTCACTTGTCCTTTCTGCACTCATTGATTCAATCAATAGTCTATTAAAATTGTAATTTTTCTTCTCATTACTTGATTATGATTATGATCACCCAAAAAGTCCCCAATGGCGGTTTTGTCGAGTCGCTCATCCAAGTGCAGCCACCTGGCTACGTCTTCCTGCGAAGTACCAAGTAATCCTTGTTCTTGTAAATATTGCACGCCTTTGCCAGGCTTTCGGCTGAAGATCTCGATACCAGTCTCCCATACTTCCTTCTGTTGTTTTTGAACTTCATACTGCTCCGGCGAATCCGGTATTTCCTTGTTGCCAGTTAAACTGGAATTGGCCGATGAGAGGCTGCCAGCACTGCCATAACGTGGCAATGGGATTTCCGGCGCCGTATCTGGTAAATCTGACAACGGTTGCTGATCCGCTGGTACACTGGGATTCACGTAGAGATCCCGACTCCACTCCACCATACACTTCAGAATAGATACAAGGCATTCGAGACCACGGATGCGCATAGATTTCTCCTAGAAGGACAAAATATTATATTAAATGTATATGGTTTTTGTTGAAGAACATTCTCTGTTCTAAATAATACGTTTATTCATGGGCATATCCAGGAAGAGAAAAGTTTAAACAATCTTCAAAATTTGTTACTTATTCTTTCATTTTTTATAATTATTGTATAAAGAAATACAACTTTACTTTTGATCCTTAGTAAATTTTGAACATTATTATATAAAATATTTAAGATATTAATGAGTGATTTATTCACAACTACATATTTTTATTTTAATAACAATATTTTGCTTACTATTTTTTTAGGAAAAAAGTGAAATTTATAATTTACAAAACCTAATACTTTTTTCATTCAAAATAAAAAACAAAAGAGACTGAGTTCTGAAATATCCTAAATAGCAATAATCCATTAACACAAACAACTATTGTTTATGTAATAATAAAATTAAAAAACCCTATCCCTATAAAAAAATACTGCATACACCCATACATTTATCTCACCATTTTCACCGCTTATAACGCACCTGATTTGGTGATGCACCTAGCTCTAAAGCCTGACGACCCTGAGCGATCTTAGAAAGATCGTTGACAAGCCTCTCAAAGAGATTCGCTGCCGAAAGATCGCAATCGTAATTAACATAGATGTCAACGACGCTTTGAGCGTCTGCACAGATCCTTGTAAGTGCATGTATAACCATCCATTTATGCTCAAAGGAGCTGCTGGAAGTCTCAAGGATATTCATAAAGATCTCCTTAAAAAATACCTCAATCTGCATCTTCAAGTGCATCTTGAAACGCGCAAGTAGCGCCAAAAACAATGCCAATGATAATTCAAACACTTCTGGTACCGAAGACACACCGTTCTTTGATAGTGCAACACACAAATACTGCTTAATGGCAATAACAAACATCTCATTGGAACGCAGTACTGGACCAGCATTTTGCAGGATTCCCAGAAGCAACTGAAGCGACAAGATCTTGGAACGGAGTTCGTGCGATTTTGGATCGGGCGTGCCGTCTGGCAGCGGTTTCATAGAGAGCTTGCATAAAGCACGAAACACCAGAAACGCATCCTTTTGCAGGACATGAGTGAATTTGGCAGTTACCATGTTGTCATTTTCAGTAACTGCCTCGTCACCATTGTCTTCCGGATTGCCATTCTCTAGACTGACTTCCTCTTCCAGTGGTACCACGGATTTCACTACGTCATCAAGGATACCTCTGACAATTATTTGGGAATCAATGGAATCACTACCAGGAACATTCTCAGAACTTAATTCGGTTTCAGTTTCACCATTCACTATGACAGTGACTTCCTGTTGATGCTCTCCATCAATTCTTATGTTATCTTCCTCTGCCTGAGTCTCCATTCGTGCGAAGATCACATTGATCATCTGAGTCAAGGTTGCGCGTGCTGTTGTCTGATTCACCAGATTACGTGATGCCAAATAAACATTATAAACAGTACGAATTGTCAATAGCACTGTACCCTCATGTACCTCTACATGCTGGCTTGTCATCACTGTCAGCAGAGCTTTAATAATCTGCAACTGCACACCTTCATCAGTTTGTGGACCAGTAAAGCAGCCGCAAATTGTTTCAACAATGCGAACAATCAACAGCTTGTTAGGCTCCGTCGAGTCAGGTACATTGCCAGTGAGATGGCCATATGCTATTAACTTCTGCAGACAGTCCAGTGCTGTCACCACAATACGCGGTGACTTGCTTTGACATGCTAACTCGAACGGCAGGAAGTACTTCTCGGCTGTAATGACATTTGAGTCACTTTTTGGTTGTGGAAGAGCATTCGAGGTTACCTCTTCACCTTGTACAGCTGGTACATCTTTGATCTCGTTACGGAGATCCTCTACAAGATAGAAGGAAGAAACAAATTTAATCAGTGTAATTACACTACTTACAACAACAAATTGCATATATTGCATGAAGTATGTCCTTACCAAGCGCAGACTCGCAGGACTTCCTGAGCTGCGAGAGGTGTGATCTTCTGACATCTCGATCAGCCAATATCTTTTCTAAAGCTCGAACGATAAACATCTCTCTGGTCTTGGAATTATTTTGCATCATTACCCCACTCCCCACGCTCGTTCAATGCTTATCCCTCAATGAGTTAACATTGGAGCAAGCTAACAAATGACAAAATATGTGACTAGGTTGCACGGTTGGCTGTTGGCCATCTTTTGCCACCTTTTCTATTACTACGCAACCCTTTTTTGCGATTCTGAAAACATTATACAGGCGTCCGGTGAGTCGAGTAGTACAAAGCTGAAGAAAACTACATAGTGCAAAATCACTCACCCAAGTGACAGAAGAATGACATCAATTTATTTTCCTGAATAGCTTTTTAAGAATAGAACCGCGAACCGCGGCCTCCTCGAGAATACGAGAATATTATGTGACTTATAACATCGCCCATCAGCAGATTTCAACCAGAATTCGATAAATGCAGACAACCATCGGGAGACGAGTTAAAATTTGAGCATAGGTTATGTAGCTATGTAGGATAATGTAGAGTGGTGCACCCATGGTTTGAGTTCTACATAATACATATATACATGTGAATATAAATACAGTTATCAGAAAGAAATTACATTATTATTATTTTATATTAATACTGTATTTCATAAAATTATATTTTCTAAAATGACTGGTTGTTCTGTGCCAGACTGCAACAATTCTGCAAAAAAGGGTTATATTATGAAAGTCTTTTCTCGTAATCCTGAAAAAAGAGCAAAATGGGCAGTGAATGTAGGTCGACTTAAATTTGACGCCATGACTATTTCCGATTTTTGCTGAAAAATGTCAGCACCAATCAAAATTGGAAACGTTATTTCGCGACTCTGATTAGAGGGTCTCTATCTTTAAAGCATTTTTTGATTGGCCAGTTAATAAAATTCTTTTTTCCGATTGGTCAGTCAAGTGCTTTAAAGCAGTCGTAGCTGCAACTCGACCACATCCATAAATACATATTCAGAACGCGTTTTTATTGATAAAAGTGCGCTTTAATCTCTGAAATTCTATAGTATGCGTAACGTAAACTATATAGCATGCTAGAGCGCTAACCGTTGTAAACGAGTGAGAAAAAGACTTTTGCTTTTTACGTTCCATCCCATGGTGTGAAAAACGCAGAAGTGTAAATTGGTGTGAATGCATCGATTGAGTCTATTTTTATCAAAATTTGAGGTGACCGGGGTATTGTGAACCTTTACCGCCTTTATCGGTCTTTACCGTGAATATTTACTAAACCGTTATTAGAATAGGCAATAATTGTGCAAAAATTTTTGTAAATGGGCGAATCTCTTCGACGAGAGGTTAACTATTGTTTGATTATAATGCTTATTTTATACATAACAATCGTACACAACAAAATTAAAGGATCATCTGTTCCACCTCGTGGAACCTGCGTATTTAAAAAATTATCCATTTTGTATACATATTTTTTTTAAAGCAACTATTTGTTTTTTTTACACCATTTGATTTATCTCATTATTCTGTTCACAAAGGTATTAAGGTACGATAATCAAAAAGTCAACAGTTTACGAGTTATTTAACATTTTGTGTCAATATGTATCAAAATGAAGTGTAAAATATCTCGAAAACTATTGGTTTTTTGGTATGTCTACCTTAATACTTTTATATGCAAAATAATTATAGAAATCACGTTATCTAAAAAAAATTACATAATTCTATTTAAAAAAGTGGAGGTGACCTTCATATCTTTTTAGCTCCTCCACTTAGAAAAAAACAACGTGACTAAAACGTGTCCCCTTCGATACCGTTCCATTTTTATTTGAAACATTTTTGTCTACAGGATTTAGTTTTCGAGAAATTCAGGTGGGGAGATTAAAATGGCTCACCCTTATATGCAGTCATATATACTCATTTTGTTTTTGTATAACATTTTATTGTTATTGGCAATTTTCCCAGCACTTTTTGATATTCTTTATGTATTTGTTTAATTTTGAGATTATAATTATTTTTCAGATTTTGCGAGTCTTCAAAAAACTTCATAGAACAAGATTAAAGACATTTGATGATGATGAATACGCATTGCAAGGTAATATACATTTTGTCAGTAATCACACTTTAATACAATAAATTTTACATTTTCAATAAGTAATATTTTACTATATTGTTCATTTCTAGTTGTGAGGGATGAGATAAACAAAGAATACAAAAAATATAAAAGTGTCACTAACCAGGCAGTGATCAAGGAGGTATATCCCTTTGTTTTAAATGTGCATGTAATATACAATAAAATGTTGTAAGCAGACTTTATATCTTAACTTATATAAATAAAACTTGTATAGAAACGTTACGTTATTATTGTTTCAGTTAAATAAATTTGCTCAGGAAGTTGAACATGAAATACGAACAACTGTCATACAAGCTGTTGAAAAAACACCTGGAAGACTAGGTATCTAATAATCATTAATTTCAAATGATAAATAAAATATTAATTGTATCGTATAATTTTAATAATCTAAATAAACAAATTTAAATTATTATTTCAGCACTGCGACTTACTCCAGATGTCTTGGTAGATAATGTGCCATATAAGGATCAAAAAGATAATAATTTAAGCAAAGAAAGTAAAGACTAAAATTGAGCTACTCACATATGATATTGAACGATATCGAACAGGAATAAGAATTAAAGTTAATTATGGATATTTACATTACATATAGATATTACATTACAATTATAGATTATTACAGTGAAATCACCTAGACATCTAATCATTTAAGATTAAAATTTGTAAATAGTGTATCATATATCATAAAAATACACATGTTTAGTGGCTTTGATAGAAAAAACACTATTTCATTTCATAATTAATCTTTATTTACAGTGATAATGGGGACGTTCAAATTATGTACAAGCCTTTGGTAGCTAAATCATTTCTTGATGTCATAGACTGGTTCTACATTTTGTGTTATATTCATGTATTTTCCATGAACTATGCATTTCCCTCTTCCAATTTCATTCTGAAACATAATGAAACTGCTTTATATTATATTTATTCTATTATCACAATAGCTTTAAATGTCTCACCTTTCTCGTATATTTTGTGTAATTGTTCACGTGTACAAGTAAGGATTGTGTAGAACAGAGGCAAATATAATCTCTGCTTGTGAATTTAACGAGGATTTAATACATAAAGAGGGTCTTTGGAGCGAACCTAAAGGAATGGATTTCAATAAAAGTAGCATTTTCATTAACCAGTCGCAATTTTGCGCTATCAAATTTTTTAATCGTTATTTAAAAAATTTTTTAATTTTGTATTATGAAATTTTTGCTTTATTTTAATTAAAGATTGTGGAGAAACTTATGTAAAGCTGGAATCACACAATGTTTTTTGAGTCAAAAAATTAAAAGTCATCGATAACAATAGTGTGATCGAATAGACGATTGACAGTAGTTTTAGAATATAAAGTTTTATCCAAATTTTCTTTATAAATATCATGCAAAAAACTTCACGTGTCATTTTTTCGCTCACGACTTATGACGTATAGAGTATCTATAATGACGTATAGTTCCAATATAACTACGGAGACTAATCAGGAATCCAGTAAGTACAGAATATAACTGCAATATTGCAGCAACATTGTAACATTTCTGTTATATTACACTGCAAAATATAGTTGTATTCTGTTTACTGGGAACTTTAAGAAACGTAAAAAAAAAACAATTGCAGTGAATACTAATAAAATCTATATCTATCACTGAAGCCTATAATTTCTATATGGTGATCTTACACATGTTCAGGATGACTGCGAATCTGGTCGATCAGATCCGCCGGTCGCAGTTGATCAGTACAGATACAGTGCACCGCGGTAAACAGTGGAAATTTATCCATCAAGTTACGAGCCTTCAACATATCGTGGACCTCGTCTGCCGTTGCTGGCCCTTGTAGTTTCTGCCCGGACAGCAGTTCATCTTCCAATACTTTGATAGTCTGTATGATATATTAATATTGTATTACATGTCACTTAGGAGTTCTGTTTTCACATTCACACGCTGCTAGCACCGGTTCGTCAAATACTTATTAAAAATATTCATTTATATTTATCATAAATATCATATATCTGGAGATGGTAATATCTCGGCGCTAAGACATGGTATATATTACATAAAGTACTTAGTTTATATTTTAATAACATTTCGAATAAAGCTTTGTATAAAATATTTATACAACATTCCAAAAAATTAATAGTAATAAATATATTTATCATAAATATTCTGTGTTCTCTGGTTATATCCAGACAACACAGAAGCGATATTAAGAGAGCATAATTTAAGTTTTCAATTTTAATTAAAACGAGTCAGTAAGAAAAATTTTATCAATAGTCAATTGTACAGATAAACATAAATTTATAAGGATCTATTAGAATTTCTCACCTTGCCAGTTTTGACAAATTGTTCACAGACCCTACGATTTCTTCCTCCGTAACAAGTAGTAATTAAATCTGCGATGCCGCAGCTCTCGAAGAATGTAGAAAGCTTAGAACCGCTATAGAAAGTATCAACAAATTTGATCATCTCCATCAGTCCTAATCGGATCACCGCAGCTTTCGTGTTATCGCCCAATCCAAGACCGTCTACAAAACCAGCTGCACACGCTACAATGTTCTGTATTATAACCAAAATATATAATCGTTTAATAAACTAACGAGCGAAATGGAATATAAAGCAGGAAATACAAAATTAATAAGATAATTCGTAATATAGAACTTACTCTGAAAATAAACTGTACTTGCCTTTAGAGCTCCACATATTTCCACGGTCTCGCAATCCTCCACGACAACTACTCGGAAGTTTGAAGTTTGAATAAGGTCCCTCAGTACCGGTGCCAATCTTTTGTCCTTGCACCCTATAATTTTCTAAGCTCTGAATGATACCCTAATAAAAATATTCTTATAATAATCTGGTAACATATTTTTAAGAATTTTTATTATTTTGAATTTATAAACGTTTCTAAAAAAATACTTTAAACTCCTTTAAATTCTAAAAGTTTTCTTCAGAAATTAATTATACAACAATTTTAACAAAGTAAACCTTCTTTTATCCAGATAGCACTCGATTCATATATGCGTTTCATATAATAGTACATTTTTAAGTTGTAAAACATTATTATAGATACGTAGAAAACGTTATAATAGAAAACGGATAGAAAATCCAGAAAGGCTACCATATATTCTTGAATGCAAATTGTAAAGTTACGAAAATACTAACCGATCGTGGTTTCGCAGAATTTCTCCTCGGCGACTTCATTGGCCAAGTTGGCACCCATTAGAACGTTGCATTGTATTCTCAATTGCTTTTCGATGATCTTGGAAATTAACTCAATACTGTTTCCTTCGCCTCGACCAAAACCCTTTAATTCAATTGGCTAACTTAATCTAAGAACATAAAAACAAAAAGAGCTAACATACCTTGATGAGAGAAAGTCCAACTGCAGTTGGTTTTATGTTATCCAATAGCGTTGAGCACAACGTGCGAATAAACTGATGTGGCAAAACGAAAATGAGTATGTCGGCATCTTTTGCTGCCTCTACAACGTCGGGCACGGCGACCTGAAAGAATATCCAGAAAATTTTATAGAAAGATAATTCGATAGACACAATATTAAATCTTATAGTACCGTAAGAAATAAAACCAATGAGAAACAAGACGATTAAGCTGGATCTCGGGTGCTTCTATGTATAATTGCTTGTGAACTTATACACTATATATATATATATATGTATAATGTAATCTTTTTAACTACACGCCGAATTTTTTCTAACTTAAAACTCAAGCTCTATTAAACTATTGCAATAATATCACTGCAAAAAACTGACTAACAATTTAATGTAGGTGATGAAACAAATGAAATTTCATTAAAACAAGAGCGTAAGTATTTATTTCATTAATAGCACATGTTATTGAATTAACAAAATTATTTTTAGTTAAGATAATGCTGTTGATACATCTTTTTTTTCGGTGTATAGGAAACACGGTGGATGGGCTGACGCAATACGATATCAATTGGACGATAACTCGATAAGTTTTCATATGTTTTTCGGAATATCTTTAATTCATTTTTATTGCTTTTTAAGCGATAGAAATTTCTTCCTTCTTAGACTTCCCATTTTTGTAAAAAGAAATTCATTCATATCAGTGTCAAAGAAGTAACGTCTATTCATCCGATATCAGTAAGATCGAATATGGAGATACGATATCTGCGATGGATATAACGCAAAATGTAACGTTTGAACGAGCGTTTTGCATCATATTATAGAAACTGGGTGCCATATATAAAGCGCACGGACAAGCGTAATATGTAATTGGCTGTCAAGTCCAAGTCATCAGTGCTCGGCAAACCTCTCACCGAGACAGACCAGTACGTGTAATTCTCCCAATAAGTATTCAAGGACAAAGCGACAATGAGGCTGAACACTATCGTACCGAATTTTAAAGTCGATACCACGCAAGGTCCTATTGACTTTTACGATTGGCAAGGCAAATCGTGAGTGGCATACATATTATATGTATATTACATGTAATATTTTATTTATTATGACATATGTACGTTTAATATTTATTAATCAGCAAAAAGTGACACATTACACATTACTCTGTTCACTTAATTGTCTCACATATTTTTGAATATTCCAGCTAGTTTTTTTTAAACTTTTTGAAAATGTATTAAAAACACAACAGAAATAGACAAAAGTTCTTCGCGAAATTTTATCATCGTTAATATTAATCATGGACTTGACTTTGTTATGCAATCAAGTTCAATGTAAAAGTCTGTATCGCACTAGATATAACAAAATTTACATATAGTATAAAAAAATACGAGTTACGCCAAATGCAAATCGCCGATTGCAAATTCAATTTTAGATGTGCGAGAAATCTTATCAGCTTTTTACTTTTCCGAGATAACTGTCTACCGACAAACATATCCGGGGATTGCGAAACGCATCATCTTAGAACCGGCACGAATAATAAACAGCTGGATTTGCATTTATCCATTGCGTAGTTCATAACAAAGTGCATCCAAGAATAAATCCTTCTAGTGTAATTAAAAGTCAACAACAGGTTGTTGAAAATATATCTGTTATTTGTACATTATTGTAATTTCCTAACAGTTATTAATTTATGAAATGGAAAAAACGATTTTGCTGAAATGTCTGAAAATTTAGCTAAATACCTGAAATTATAAATAATTTAAATAATTATAAATAATTATAAATAATTTTTAAACAAAATATAAATATTATAATTATATGTGTAAATATGAGTATAATGTATAGAGATACCATATAATTAGATATAGGTACATTTAATTTAATACTTTTTAATACTATTACGATATAAGTTTTTGAGTATGTTGGATTTTTTTATGATTATTTATTCTTCGCAGATGGGTGGTCTTGTTCTCCCATCCTGCAGACTTTACCCCAGTATGCACCACTGAACTGGGTCGTATTGCGGTGCATCAAACGCACTTCGCAAAACGTAACACTAAGTTGCTAGCTCATTCTGTTGACAAACTTAAGGACCATGTAGACTGGGTCAATGTAAGCATCTTTGAATTCTACATTTAATGCTATTCCTAATATTTGTCCAGAATCTGTGTGCTTATCTGTTTCTTTT